ATGTTTCAAAATCGTTACAAACACAATGGTTTGACTGCAATGAATGAACGAATGACCGATCTGGCAACACCATATTCCGAGAATTAACTCCCGTATCTTTCTAAAACATTACACAGCGAGCGATATCAGACGCATACAGTCGTGCATACCGAAATGTCCCATACGATAAATAAGCGACAGCAAGAGACATCATTGAATGTGAAGTCGCCACAAGGACTTACACTGCTAAAACGCATGGTGCAGAAAATGTATGAATTTCGGGAATTTTTTTGGGGGGAATCAGTATAAAAATTTTTTTACAGATATTAAAATCTGTAAATTAGAATATCTGATTCTATATTCTTTCTACATTAAAGGAGCGTTCATTTCGTTCGTTTATCATAAAAAATGTAGAAATCACACCATTTTTAGAAACATGCATACAATTTCATTGCCCTAGAAGGGTGGGCATTTAAATAAACTCCGTCCAGCTGCCCCTACCGGAAATTAAATGGCCCGTCCGATAAAGGTTAAATGTCGAGGGCTGAGTAGGGTACAAACCACGCTATGTGACCATTTATATCAGATCATCTGTAACAGTTACCAGCACAAGAAGTAATTGCAGTGGTGTTCAGTGAGGGAGCAGTGAACCAAAACAAACTGATGCTAAGGTCATATGTGACAAACTGAAATACTGCTCCAAAACAAGGTAAACATAAAGGTATTCAAATATTAAGTCTGTGCCAATGTGATTTGCCAAAGCGTAAATAGATTTTAGTGCAAAGTAATAAAGAAAATAGGAAATTTGAATGTGCCTTTGAAGGAACCTAATCAGATAGCTTTACTAGGATTTAAGTAATTTTAAAGTGGCTTAATAACTTGCATTTGTACATACCTGATCTAATATTTTATTTGTTTATGGAAGTACAATAATGTCACAGTTTGGTTTTATTAACCTTTATCGGACGAACGTCATCATATGATGTCGTTAAAAGTTAGGGCAGCTGGCCGAACGTCATCATATGATGTCGCGGATTCCACGCGTGTAAGGTTTTTTTTAATATTATATTAAAAATATAAATTGTTTTTCTATTTACATGATTTTTGGTCACCACCTTTATAAGGAGACAGCCTTCCTTCTTGCATGATCTAATGTAATCTACCGACATCATATGACGTTAAAAGTAAAGCCAAATTCCCGAACGACATCATATGATATCGCGCATTCCATGCGTGTAAAGATTTTTTTAAAATTAAATTTAAGATATAAATTGTTGTTCTATTTACATGATTTTTGGTCACAACCTTTATAAGGTGACAGCTTTCCCTCCTGCGTGATCTAATGTAATCTACCGACGTCATATGGCCCAACGACCTCATATGATTTCGCGCATTGCACGCGATTCCTGTGTCATCTATGGTAATGTGGTCTTCGTATGGTACTGCCGAAAACATTCCGAAATGCAGAGTCCAACATCGCACCTCACGCACTTCGTACGAACGCTAGACCGCTTCCCACGCGAAGAACACACACGACATCTCAGTTGCGATTTAGAGGAAGCAGGCCAGTGATGTCGACGGGCTTCCTCTAATCGTTTTACTAATGATGACACAGCAGGAGGTCGACCAATGGACCTTTGAGGGCGAGGTGAACCCCTTCCAGCTTCTTCCACCATGTTGCACACAAGGGCGAGACGAAAGTCTCGATGTGACAATTTCGCGCCACAGGATGACAACAAGATGAAGCTGTTCAGAATTGTCAGATCCAGGAGATGGAAAAATAATTTATTTGTCCATTTCCAGGTCCGACGACTGATGCTGTAACTGTTTGTCATTCTGTCCGCTTTGTCGACATAACCCATGTGCGTGTTATAATCCACAACAACTGATGGTTTTATGGCATTTCCATGCTCATTACGGAAAG